TTAGAATTCCGAAACGCCATGTTGTATCATAAGCCTTTTCGATATCGAGGAACACAGAGAGAAAATATTGTTTATGGACGAAGGCGTCTCTGATCTGTGCCTCGATACGAACAAGGTGGTCTGTGGTAGATCCACCTTCTCGAAACCCGCACTGAAATGGGTCGAGCAAATTATTTGTTTCAAGGAAATGTACAAGTCGGCAGTTTATCATTTTTTCGAAGACTTTGCACAAGCAGCTTGTAAGTGCTATAGGCCTATAACTCGAGGGTAAAGAAGGGTCTTTGCCCTCTTTCAAAATGGGAATAATAATAGCCTCTTTCCAGGAGGTAGGAATAGCGCCAGAAAACCAGATAGCATTGTACAAACAAAGTAAGGTTTTTCGTGATTCGATTGGTAGGTTTTTTAACATTTCATACACCACACGGTCAGAACCTGGGCAGAAGTACTGCAGGAGTTTAGAGACATTTGCAGCTCAGCTAGACTGAAAGCTTGGTTATATGCCTCGGATCTAGTGCATTTGTGTTCAATTTTCTGCTTTTCTATTCTTGTTCTGTATTTTTGGAAAGTGTCAGTATAGTGGGATGAGCTGGACATCTGTTCGAAGTGTGCACCGAGGAAGTTTGCCTGATCTTCCAAGGTATCACCCCGAGTGTCCACGAGTGGAAGTGTGTGTACTTGTTTTCCTGCTATCCTACCGACCATGTTCCAGACTTTAGCCTCCTGTGTGTATGAATTGATCCCTGATAAAAACTTCTGCCAGCTTTCTCTTCTGGCCTGCCGACGCGTTTTCCCGCCTTGAGACTTTATTTTCTTGAAGGTGTCAAGATTTTCGGCTGTCGGTGAGTTCCGAAGCAGCCTCCAAGCTCTGTTTTGCTGTTTGTGCGCGTTTCGGCATTCAGAGTTCCACCATGGCACACGCCGTTTTCCTGGGTGCCCATTTGTTTGTCGGATGCATTTTGTTGCAGCATCAATCAAAAAAGCTGTGAAGTAGTCGACAGCAACATCAATGCTTAAAGTACATATGTCACTCCAATCTATACGAGCGATGGTATGAAACCGTTCCCAGTCGGCTCTGTTTATGAGCCATTTGGGAACACGGGGTGTACACTCAGTTGCTGTAGTTGTGCTCAAAACTACGGGAAAGTGGTCACTTCCGTACAGATTACTGACGTCTTTCCACTGGAGTAGAGGCACAAGAGATGGAGGCACTATGCTTAGGTCTATGGAGGAGTAGGTGTTATGTGCGAGATTATAATAGGTTGGTTCTTTTCTATTTAGGAGACATGCGTTCGACGAGAGAAGGAATTGTTCGATCAGTCGACCTCGCGCGTCGCAACGAGAGTCTCCCCATAGCCTGCTATGCGCATTGAAGTCTCCAAGGAAAACATAAGGCTCCGGAAGTTCATCAATTAAAGAGTGTAGATCACGTTTTTGTAGCTGATAGCTAGGAGGGATGTAAATAGTGCAGATTGTGATTAGTTTATCAAAAAGAACCGCTCGAACAGCCACTGCCTCAAGGGATGTTTGGAGTTGTAAGTGTGTGCATGCAATTCCTTGATTCACTATGATGGCAACACCTCCGGATGATGTCATGGCATCATCACGGTCCTTTCGAAAAATAACGTATTTGCGAAGAAAATTTGTGTGTTTTGAATTAAGGTGTGTTTCTTGTACACACAGAACTTTTGGTGAGTGTTCGTGTAGGAGTTCTTGGATGTCGTCAAGGTTTCTGAGAAGGCCCCTGACGTTCCATTGTATAATTTGAGTGTTCATGGTGAATGTAAAATAATGCTGTGTGTACGAAAAGCGAGTGGCTGTTTACACGGGGAGTTTGAGTTCACTTAACAGGGCCGTCACCAGGCCCTGTTATTTGCTTTTTTGTTTTCTTGGCGCGCTCCAAGGAGCCACGCCGCTCTTTCGGCACCAAGGGTGCCGACGTATCCATTGCCTCCTCGGAGGCACTGGATGCCCGCACGTGCGGGCTGTTAGTTTGGATTTTGGGCCTCGCCTGGTGAGGGGAGGCCTTGAGACCCGAAGACTCTGGAGTCTCCGGTCTCTGTTTGGGAGTAGGCGGTGTAGCCTGGGCTACAGCCGCCTTGGGGGCAGGTGCCACAGCCGACGACTCGCTCTGCGCAGGCCGAAGGGGTGGCGAGGGCTGGTGCGGCGTTGCCCCCTGACGCGCCGCATCAGCATATGTTGCGCCGTAAAATGGCGACACTCTTCGTCTTGCTTCTTTGAATGTGATGTTTTCTTTGACTTTAAGAGTAATTATCTCTTTTTCTTTCTTCCAGTTAGGACATGAACGCGAATACGCGGGGTGTTCCCCGTCACAATTCACGCAGTGAGGCGTAGTAACACAGTTATCAGATGGGTGGCCGTGGCTACCACATCTTGCACAAGTTTCCTGACCCCGGCAGTTCTGCGAGCCATGACCAAATCGTTGACATTTATAACACCGTCTTGGATTGGGAATGTAGGGACTGACAGAGAGTTTGATGTATCCTGTGTCTATAGATGAAGGCAGTGTGCTAGATGCGAAGGTGAGTATTAAATGTGTGGTAGGTATTTCTTTGTTGTCTCGTCTGATGACGATTCGTTTCACATCTGTGACATTTTGCTCTTTCCACCCTTCAAGCAGTTCCTGTTCAGACATTTCAAGAAGGTCTGATTTTGAAACAACTCCGCGTGAGGTGTTCATTGATCTATGAGGTGAAATAGATACTGGGATATTACCAAATGCTACGAGACTGCCAAGTTTTTCATAGTGGTGTTTTTCAGGCAGCTCAAGGAGAAGGTCTCCGCTAGCCATCTTTGTAACCTTGTATCCTGGGCCAAAGACCTCTGTCAGAGATTTAGCAACAAGAAATGGAGATATCGCTCTGGCTTGTTTTGTTGGGTTTTCGCTGTGCACAACATGGAATTTGGGAAAGCATTGTCTGGGTTGGCTGAAAATTGATATGTCATCGGTGCGTCCCCTCTTAGGCGGGAGACGATCTAGGAGACGGGGAAATGCAGGTGTTCCCATAGTAGTGTACTTTTTGTTCGGCAGCAATGGCGACCACCCACCATGGAGTCCAACCAGGGGACGCTGAAGCACTTAATAGCATAAGGCTGCAGACGCCAGCCGTACATTGCCACTATAACCAAATATAACTACTCAAGGTTGAGTAATTACACAAGGTTAACCCTTGCCGTTATGAAAATTCGGAAGTAAATGGAAGAGAGAAGAAGACAGGACAGATTTAAAGACGAGAAAAGACTAAGATGTAGGAAGAGAGAGATAGGAAAAGGCGACTGCCGATTTCCCCTGGGTGGGTCAGCCCAGGGGTGCCGTCTACGTGAAGCCAGGGCCAAAGAGGTGCGTTGCCTCTGCCGGGGGGCCTTCAAGGTCCAATCACCCAGCTTTGGCTCAACCCCCAGGATCCCCTTTTCCCCGGACACGGCAAAGCCACGCACGGCTAGGCGTGGGAGGGAGCCGAAATCCCCCGTTAGCTCGGGTCCGTGGTGTCGCTACACACCAAACGCCTACTTGCGCAGGCGCCCCTGCGGGGGCTGTATACAAAGTGTCGTGTGCGGAATGTCCAGTGAGCTACATAGGCAAGAGTAGGTGCTTCCCGGAAAGAATACGGCAGCACAAGAACGACATCAGAGAGATGGAGGTGCAACGCAGTGTCCTTGCAGAGCATTGTGAGAAGCACGACCATAAGATTGACTTCGGCGGCGCTTTTATCATAGAAACGGAAAATCTGGAAAGGAGGCTCTTGCTCGAGTCCTGGCACATAAAACCCTGGAAACAATGCCTCCGATCTATGTGCACGATCTTCGAAACGAGAGAGAAAGGAAAAGACTGAGCCTAGGACAAGACGCGTCGACGCTTCCCTCACCATTACAGTCACCCCTGAGGAAGGGTCCAAGCTGGTGTCGAAACGTCGGGTTTTCTCCAAGATTGTGGCTGAAGGTATTTCAACTTCCTTAAACTTTAAGCAGTTTCCCCATCTATAGATCCAGGGAAAAGACACTCCTTATAATGAGCCAGCACGCTCATTCACTACGTGAATCGCTAGTCATGTATAAGCTATAAATAACTGCTGTCAAGTTTCTCTTCAGTCTCCGCATGTAGCTCTGCAACTTCCTCTTAGGTACCGCTGCCTGCCATCAGAATGCCAGTGGCGGCGTTGGTACTTGCAATGATGTGCTAGCATTTTTTTTACAACAAGGTCGAGTACCCCACAATGCTAAAAAGCACTCTTCAAAATCGAGAACTACCAATCACAATACACAAGCATATACACTCAATACACTCAACACATTTGAGTCACACTAGGTGAATCAGTTTCTTTGCCGTAAATCACAACTCTCTAGCCACTAACAAAAGCAAAAGCAGAAATTCACTAATTTTGTGTCAGTACTCCTTAAATGGGATGCTGCTCAGGGGATCTGCGAAAGCACCATTGTGAAAATTCATTTGGAACTGGTATTCGAGAATCCACACAGTTCACACCCTTTATGTTTCTGGGTTAAGAGAGAAGTGTACATGATGAATGCTAAAAGGGACACATGACAATGCAGAACCTAACCAGAGACCTACAAAGTTAATACTGCAGTGACTAACACATTTTACTCACCTACTGGTGCAAAAAATTGCCAGTTGGGTAATTACCAGATAACACTAAGGTCATTATTTTGTTCAGGTGAGAACACTGGTACGATTAAAAGTTTTTGCCAAATAATTTTTGCTAATGAGATGTTTGACAAAATGACACAGCTAAACCACAACCTTCAGGGGCTCTAGTAACCTTTAAATATGTAAGTGTAACTATAGAACAATTGGAATCCTATATTACAGCAAGTGACAGGTTACACAAATGCACTTGATGGCACATTCCACTATTTTGCAAGCCTCTGCTGTCACACCCATACTTGACCTAAGCTTACTTTCAAGGAACCCTAAAGTGTAACACTAGGTCAGTTCACACTTACACAATCACACCCCTGCTCACCTTGGGTGTCATATCCGTCAGCAGTGTGGGGTAGCTCCTCCCGTTTCGGCAGTGCATCACCCTTGCTGAAGCTGCCCAGCCTGCGCACCAGAAACGCATATTTAGTGGAACCCATTTTAACCACTCGAGAATTAAAAGGACATTGACACAAAAACTTTGCCTCTCACTTTTTCATTGGAACAAGAAGGGGCGGGGGGGGGTTTGTTCTTAAGCAAATTAAATCACTGTGCCCCTTTATGTGGCACATTCATTCAGAAATCGCAAGAACAGGGCCTGCATAGTATCGAAAACAAATGACTTCATCGACAGGTCTGATCTGGTTGTTGTAGTCTTCAAATATCCCAAAGTTCCTTACGACTCCTGCTGACATTACGCATATATAAATATAATATATTTTAAAGGGGCCATCTTAAACTTTGAAGGCCTTTATTTTTCATCTGTAGGTAATGTAAAGTAATAATTGAAAATGGCTTGAACAAATTTAAAGGCATCGATATCAATATACTTGTGTTTTCAATGTGCAAATAATTCACTACATGAATTAATATGTACTAGTGGCGCTTACCAGATGCCTATCTGAAGAGGGTGTGCAAATATTCAAAAACACCGAACACTGTCCCAATAGTTTTTGAATGGCTAGGACAAATCGAAATGGCCCTAAAAGATCAAACATTAGAATTGTGAGAGATCACTTTCCTCAAGTTATTTTTTATAGAATTGCAAAGAAGCAAGCTGACCACGCTTTAGTGAGACTACTCATAGTGTGCACATCACTGGATGAAGGTGATATTGCTTTAAAATGCAGTGTTGCAACATGTCCTCAGTCCACCATCATCCTCACGAGATTTATGATAATGTTGATTGATGAAACGCAGTTCAGTTTTTGTCTCTCAGATTTATGTAAAAGCTGGTGGCAAAGTACTGCCTAGAAAACTGAAGTAGCTGCTGCACACAATATCTTGAATGCTCTAGTCGCTAATATATGCAAGCTTATCTTATTTCACATAATTATGCCAATTTTTGTCAATTAAGGGTAATAGTAATGCTCTCTCGTGATTGTTGAAGTTTCTGAACATCTTTTTCGAATAAAATAAGATGTAATTCTAGAACTGTCTTAGAAAATGGTTGCCTATAATTTGAAACCTATCCCGAACAGTATTCTGTTCATATTTGTATTTGATATGGCTCTAAAATATACTATTTGCACACCCCTAATTGTTTTGAGTGTCCTGTACATTAGTGTTATCCGAGAGGTACATGTTTCCTATTTCAGTGCATTCTTTTTGTCTCGCCAATTTCCTTTATTTTCAGTACTATGTTGTTTGTTACTATGGTGACAGCATGATCGGTCATTATGAAATGGGGCATTATGGGGCACTAACTTGCACTGAGCAGGTCCTTCAAGCTCTGCCATCAACAGTGCAGTGTTTAGTAGGGAGCAAGCACATAAAAACTCTCGTGTACAACACAAGACATTTAAAAATTTGTTGTATCCACTGTTGATACATGAAAGATGTTACAGGATTACATTGTATTGTGTAATGATGTTAAAGCTTTTGAGGATGCATTGCTTCAGTCAATGTACTTTTCTACTTAATGCCGTTTTCAATGTTGATTTGAGCTATGCAAATGCACTCACTCACCTGCGCTCTGCTGAGTTGTGCTGTAAGTATGTATTGAGTGTTACACTTTTATTTACATTTATTTTTTACTTTCTTAGTTTCATTTTGTGAAATTTTCTTCTCCCCTTGAATTGGTTTTTGAAAATGATTAACTTTTGCCCTACTGAGCAACTTCTGTTTTGGCATGTATTCTAATGGCATGAATAAATATTAAAAAATGTGGGTGGGAGAAAGTGAGACACCCAATCCTGTGCAATTGGAGTTGATGGCAGGCCCTTTTTTTTGTTTTTTGCTTTTAGTTTTATCCACTGCGAAATATCAGGCTAGGCATATGTGTTGGCATCATTCGTACTGCACTCAATATCCATTATTCAGTCTGCGAAATCAGCAAACAAAAAATTCGGGTTTGAAAAGTCTTAAAGAGCTCATTTACAACTCTGCAGGTTCCAGGTTAGAGCAACAACGAGAAGCACTTTGCTAATGAAGTGTGAGCAAGTTTGCCTACTTAATCAGCAAGGCAAGAAAAACCAGTGCAGATTTGCAGCTAATGCTCTCTTGGCTTGCCTGGTGCAGCAGAGTTATGGGTTGGACGTTGCTCATTGCATGTCACTCTCATATGGTCTAACATCACTAAAACTTCTAGACAGCTTCCCACAGACTGGTGTCGGTGTTTTTTGCCCAAGTGATGGGTATTGATCACGAGAATGAGCCTTTAGGTGCACTTTAGGAGCGAATTAAAATATCTTGTAAAATGTTGTGTCCAACACTTTGTGCTGAGTGTCCTTGCTTGCATACAGGAAAAACCTACAGGCTCGTTTTCGGTTTCTGGAGCTTGTTCTTCATTAACGACATTTCTCTGTGGTCTCATAGTACAAAGAATGTACTGTACAAAGAAATGACACTGTCAAATGTGTTTCTCTTGTAAACTTAAGTAAGTCTCCCTGTCTGCCATGTGGACTTGCCTTTTCCCAGCACATAGTGCACATCAATGGTTTTCAAACACCACTCTAGGTTTACTAACAATAAACTCAATTAGGCCTGGTTGCATAAACAAGTAACATGACTGTTGCCCTCTGAGGTACTGAGGTTATTGATACAACATCATGTGCACCTAACTGGGCTGCTTGGTACATGATTAAAGGGGTGGTGCCATCAAACTTGTGACTTGTGCTTTCTTTGTTACAAATCTTTCTTATTGCTCTTGAAAGCATGGCACACATTTCAAGATTTGGATATTCTCGCAAAATAATTAGATTGTGGTTTATTTATATGAGTGACTATCGGTGTCGTCTGCTGAGTTTGACAATGACATCACTCTTTAGGAGACTTGAACATGAGGGCCTACAAATCTATGATGCATGCAGTGCTGCATTGTCAGCTACTGCGCACTCATGTGATCAACTGTCGAGATGCCTTCAAACCTGGCTAAAATACTGTAATAACGAATATTAGCATGCATGTAATACCGGCATACCAAAAGATCTTTGTGGAGTACTGGATTGCTGGAAAATTGTGTCAACATCTCACGACGCTTCATGTAACCGCAATAATTTTCGTCTATATTTGGTGGTGAAAAAAAAATTTAAAAAGGCAACCCATTTGAAACTGCATCTCTGCCGAGAATTAACACCAGCCCAGAAGCATATTTCTGAAACAATTCTGTGTTTCCCTGGTGCACCTTAGTAGCTTCAGGTGGTCTCAATTATCTGGTCTCACTAATACTGGTAAAATAATCTTCTATGCTAAAACAAAGAACTGTGTAAACAAACAAATTTTCTCACATCGCCTTCACAGGTTAGAGCAACAACGAGAAGCACTTTGCTAATGAAGTGTGAGCAAGTTTGCCTACTTAATCAACAAGGCAAGAAAAACCAGTGCAGATTCGCAGCTAATGCTCTCTTGGCTTGCCTGGTGCAGCAGAGTTATGGGTTGGACGTTGCTCATTGCATGTCACTCTCATATGGTCTAACATCACTAAAACTTCTAGACAGCTTCCCACAGACTGGTGTTAGTGTTGATTGCATAAGTGGTGGGTCTTGATCATGAGAATGAGCCTTTAAACACACTTTAGGAGCTAATTAAGATATCTTGTAAAATGTTTGTTGTGTCCAACACTTTGTGCCGAGTGTCCTTGCTTGCATACAGGAAAAACCTACAGGCTCGTTTTCGGTTTCTGGTGCTTGTTCATGTTCTCATGCTTCTTGCTATCAGAATGCAATGTAATCTCTCAAATCCGGAAGCGATATCACTTTTTCAAGCAGTATGCAATGAATGCTCATCTTGAAGTTGCATTTATGACAATGTAACAGCGGCTCACAAGATATTTTATATATTATTAAGGATGCTGCATTAAACTATGTCAAGAAATATTTCATGACTTTTTATCCCTGTACTGAATAGCCATAGCAATGTCCCAAACTAATACTGTAAGTAAATGTTATGAAGCTGAACTTTAAATAAGTGACTTAAATCAAGCATCTAAGCTGTCTGCTATCACTCTACCTAATACTAACAACACAGCTTATGTATGAACTATTTCAAGCTATCCTCTAGTTAGGCTGGCTTCTTCTCCCCACCTTATATTTCAAACTGACTGCAAACACTGTTCAACATAATAAACACTTCTGTATAAACACCTAAGCAACACAACACACGAAGAAAGAATATCACCATCATGATTGTCTTTATTTTACACAGCACTTCATCAGACCTTCCACAAAATAGCATGCGCAGACAAGCAACCCTTCCAGCAAATAAAGCACAAGCAACCATATGTGTGTATGTGCAGTGCCATGCTACATACAAGCACTACTAGTACTAAAAATATACATGTTCCAGTGGACAAAAACAGTGCCAAAAAGCAAAAGCAGACGATGTGGGTGATGTGCACCAGAACCACAGATGGCCATGCACTCTATCCATGACCAGCACATTTGTAGCATAAAAGACACCATCCACCACTGTTTCAAGAACACAGCGTGCCATTTTATACACAATGCACACATGCCACCTTCAAAATGAGACTCTTCCTAAACAAATAACACAGAAGCATAAAGCGTTTAGTTTGCTTTTTATTAAGTCTTCACACCCATGCAGTTTCATAACACATTTGAGAGCTGCAGGTCATCACAAAGACAGCTGTTGATATAATACCCACCTCCAATTTTTTTTTTCATCATTGAAACAGCATGATAAACAACATCAGTAGTGTGCTGGTTGTGTACAACAAACAAGCTTTAGAAAGGTAGAATTACTAACACCCCCTCAAAAAAAAAAAAGTCAATCACATGTTTCTGATATATGCATATATATACATATATACCTCTCATATTCTAAAATCATTAGTATGGGTCAACTCCAGCAGCGTTGGATTTGTCTTAAGAATGGTGGGTGAAAGGGAGCAGCAATTGATATTGATACAGAAGAGTTGCCACAGCCTTGCTGCATGAAAAAAAAAAAAAAGACGACGATTGCTGGTTGTTGTTGGACTGGTGCCATCTTGTTCACCCAGTACTCCGATTACTTAAATAACTAACCCGTAACATTATTGGTTGAGGTGGACGACTCCTGTACATCGATAAAGATGTGCAGAGGTCGCAACACTGGGGACCCCTAGGCTAGTTTGATAGCTAGTACCTCATCACCATCGACCTCTTCAGACTAGTCCACAACCTACGTCACCCTCCCGCCCCTGCAGGACCCTGGCGCTTTCTCCGCTGATGGTACCATGGACGTTGACTCCTGGCTGTATCAATATGAGCGTGTCAGTGCTACTCATTGCTGGAATCACACGCTCATGCTTGCGAATGTTCTGTTCTACCTGAATGGCAGGCCGCTGACATGGTTCGAAACCAATGAAGTTGAAATCACAAGCTGGGATCTTTTGAGAACGAAGATTCATTTTGGTGATTAATCTGGGTCGTCAGCTTACTGCCAAGAAGACCCTCGCCACGCACGCCCAGACATCTACTGAATCGTATGTCTCGTACATTCTTGACGTCATGACCCTTTGTAGCAAGGCCAAGCATCGCATGCGGGAACAGGAGAAAGTTAATCATGCCCTAAAAGGGATTGCTCACAATACCTTCAACCTATTCTTCTTTAATACTATCACGAGCATGCCACCGTCTAAAACAGGCTAAAGCCCACCGCGTCACCCACGGCATCACGCACCTGCCGAAAACAGAGGCTACTTACTCTTGCAATGACACCTTCCATCAGGTCTCCCGGTGTGACAACCTCACCCACATCATTCGTAAAGAGGTCGAGGCAGCCCAGCCAGTAGCCAATCCATTCCCGATGCCTGAGCCTTCCCCGACCACTATCTCACTGCTACAAGCCGTCGTTCGTCGAGAATTATTGAACGTCGGCCTACATCCTGTTCTACCGGTTTACTCTGCAGAGCATTTTTATCGACGTCCCTCCACTCCTCACTTTAATTCCAACTATTCTCAACGACGCAATTTGACCACATGGCATACACTTGATGGCGAAGAACTTGGCCTACCTTTTGACACCTTGCTGCCCTCGGTCACTGAATATCTCGGTGAAGCCATCGCGCGAGCTGACCACACACGCCAACTCCCCCGTAAACGTCTACAGGCCTCACAGGAGCACCAAGAACAGCTCTACGACTCTCAACATCAAAATGTACACTTTTCGCCGGGTTCCCTTTCCCTTGTCCTTCTATGGTGACCCACTCCACGTGTAGGTCTTTCTCAAAAACTGCTCTCAGGCTACACTGAACCATACTGCGTCATTCACCAGGTGACTGATGGTACATATGAGATCGTTCCAGCCAATCCAACATCATCATCGTCAGCTTCGAGCAATATCGTGCACGTAGGTCGACTCAAGCCTTATCACCCTCCTTCCACCGCATGCGTGTAGACCAAGCACTGAGACTGTGCTTCTACCGCCGGGAGGTTATGACATAAAGATAACCACAGGTCAATGCAATACTAATGACTTCAGCCTGGTAGTATGTGCTACCCAATCTATAAAATATACATCCTACATGAATCCCAAAGTTACATTACTTATGCATGAACCTAAAAGGATGTATTATAAGTGACAGTACAGCTATTACCCGCTGTTTTGAAAGATAGCTCTACCTTCAGATACACTGCAGTACATAGTGAAAGCTAAACATTATTGGACAATATAATAAATGCACAATCCCCATAAACACTACAGTCATTTGAAACAATCAGAGGCGGTTGGCAAATGCTTTCACGCCGCTTCAAGGGACGTATATAGTTGGACAATACCAATATGTTTATATTTGGCACTGAGCGACAAGCTGTTCCCGATAACAAAATAAACATCTTAGCCCACAGAGAATGACTATAAAACATGCCAGACAATCAGTAGCAAGCAGCACAAAGTGTCTTTCAAGTCAGAAACCATATGTGCACCAAAGCTGGCATGACATGGCGGAGCTTACAAGCACGTGACAAGCTGAACGCGAAGCGAGCAACTGCTGCATACGCCACTAGCACCACGTGAGCAGCAACATGCAAGCCGTGATTGGAGTGCTAAAGCAACCTCATTTTCCAATGCCAACATACACAAGAAAACAAGGCAGCAAATGGTGGGAGGAGCTGTCCTTACCGCACTGCACCTGCGAGCGCAGTGGATCCAGCTAACGATTTGTTTTTCGCGCGTGTGCGAGCACCCGAGTTGTGCCTGTGAGTGGACCGGGTGTGGCACCTAGACAAAACACAAGCGCGAACAGTCACACAAGTGAAACGCCACAGCGTTCCAACACTGTTTCAACACCCGCCACGTTCAACCTGTCATGCGGGACAACATGCTTACAGCTGGCAAATGTGTGTGCATCGCATATGGAGCAGACACATCGACAGCCAAGCTGGACCGCTTTCAGGCATAAACACACCACTTTAGAAGATGCTTGCAATAAGTAAAAAGTCAGGATCAGTTGAGAACATGCCAAAAACACCATATCAATATATGCACTTCGTAAGTTAGGAATAGAACATATCAATATAGCGAAAAACCTTTGCATGGCTGGTGAAAGTGAAAACACAGTGAAAACAAGTGAAAAACACAGCAGAACATCTGCTTTTGCTTAGTGTCAATATAACAATAACATAAAACTTAAAATCACAACATATTTCATCTATGGAAGTGTGGTAGCTAACAGGATGAGTTGGTTCATCTCAACCTTTGCACACACTGCCATCAAGACAACAAATACACTAAAATGAGAAGGATGCAACTTGATTGCCACCTCACAACTGAAGACTTTATTCTCACAAAAACAACATACACAGAAAAACTTGCACAAGCATGCACCAATGCATCTGGATCTCCACCAAACCAGGCATAAAAAACAAACACATCAATTAAGCAGTTTTGCTACACGCCTAGTACACCGCCTATAGAGGCACCACTAATAACCACCTAGTGGGCGCCAGTAGAAGTACGTGCGGGAAGCCGAGCAGATACCAATACTCTGCACAGCTTTGCTTGAGAAGAAGTTCGTGGCTGTGATTTCCCCTTCGTTTGGGTGCCAGACAACTAATTCTGCGTTAACATCTATAAGGAAAAACACGAGGCCTTTCGAGAGAAAACTGGTGCATGGTATTTGTCACAAAAAAGCGCTTAAATAAGTGTGCGTCGCTGATTTCCAAAAACAGCATAAAAGTGCAACTTCGGTGGCTCACGCACGACAGAGCGAGTGCACGCATTGAAAAAAGCGAAGTATCGAAATGCACTGAAAACACGACCCTAACCCTCTCTAAAAGACTGACCCATGGTGTAAGAGTTTGTTCTCACACTGTTACCTGACCACACGTACCCGTGTGATCATCAAGTGTCCTTTCAGTTTTTTTGTACATCAAGTATCCTTGTAGTTTCATTTGTGCCGAGTGTAAAAATTAAATTCATAAGCACATTCCTCAGCAGCTTTCCCCAAAGCTTTCCTTACAAGGGGATTTCCCCTGAAGCCGATTGCATGGAAGAGTGCCACTGCATCCAGTGCTAACCGAGTCAGTGACTAGCATTTCATTTCTATTTTCCTTCTTTTCCAAGCCATGAAATTCTGAAGTCCCATTAGAGCCCATATCAATGAGCCTGTGCATGCCGAAGCACTCACTGCTACAGCTTATTGAAACTTGCTACCGTTGCAGGCACCAGCCTAAACGAAACATTAAAAAGCAAGAAAGAATGTAAATAAACCTATTAAGATCACTAAATAAGATTCTGCATTATAATTCTGCATTATAACTTATAACAGTTTGCAAATAATGCAAGATTATGACTCATACTATTTTTAAATGTCTCATACTTACCAAACTAACTGTCTTTCTACATGATGTTACATCACTAGCCATGTATCCACATTCCTTGTTAAGCAGACAAAACATAATTGTTCCCTTGAAGCTTTTTGTTGCTAATGAACAATTGGGTTTGACTGTACACAAGTAAATTGAAGATCACAGGCCATGTATATACTTATGCCACTTGCCAGGAATTAACTGTAAAGAGGGTATTACACAAATGGGCATTTTTGCTGTCCCATCCTGTTTTCCTGTGTAAACAGAGCCCTCCGCCCTACCCCCGATTCATGGTAAATCCACATAACCATTCACTGCTGAGCCAATAAAGACTCCCTTAAAGCTTTTCTTCACCAATGATTAAGGCTAGTACTAGTAGCTATGACACGTTATAAAAATTTTAGAGCTTGGTTGGGTAGATATATCATTCCACAATATTTTTATTCTGCTATAGTCAGATACAGCTTAAGAAATCCAGGAAGACACTGCCCAGATGACGAAAGCATGGCAGCCAAATGCCTCCGTGAGTAACTAAATAGTACCACTCATGCACTTTGTAGTGTTCTCCAAAAGCAGACGGTGTTAGTACAAATATTGTACTAACACCAATTATTACTGTTCTCTAACTCAATCTACAACAATTAAAAACTATTGTATTGAAGTTAACAATGTAATCTCACTATCTGGTTTACTAGAAAACTGATTATGCAGAATGGGTGAGTTGAAATTGTTCGGTGATAGTGCCCCTTTGAACAACACAGACCTTGGGTGTCAGTCCTATGACCCCTCGAAGTTAGTGGTACCATGCATATGGATCTCTGGCACCTTCCTTCAGAAAAACTTGCAAAAACTATGTCTTGGTATATGCACGGTGAAATTTTTTACCAAAATATGGACAAATGAAGCAGACTCCACCTCTTAGTGCAGTTTAGTGCAATCAGTGCAGCTGATGCATCACTGGGTAAAACAATCTATCGGAGCAAGTACGAGGACTTGCCAGTTTCTATGACAACGTAGTGCCACGGCATGCTTTAATTCAAAATTCGCTCACTTCCTGATCACAGGAACTTTTGGTCTGATGTAACAGAGCAAACACGTTTCCTGTAGGCAAGGCTTGGTCAATTTCTCTGTTGCATAAATGACGTTTTATTTTTATTTTACTAGAGAGGAACTTTATGCATATCTCAAATTACATGAAGCTTTTGCAATTTACACGAAGGTTTTGCAATTTTGCACCATAAATTGCCCTGGACTACAACTTTTTATATAAATGACTGCCCTTAAGTCAGTAATTAAACAAAGCTAATTAACAAGTTCTTAATTAATCAATTCAAAGCAACACAAGCTGTGGCAAACCACTTCATACATGGCAGGAGCCTGACTGTTACACACACCTATAAAAAACAAACACACTGTCTAGTAAGGCCGCTTATTTTAACTTTTCCTTCATTTCACTTTCTGGTAAACAATCCGTAAGTGACAGTGCTTACTAGAACATTGGTTTAAAGAATATGCTTAAACGGATTTAGTACTCCTCTTTAGCATTCTTTTTAATGAACTAAAAGCTGCATAACTTGCCCTGCAGTCTAAACTACACAGAAAATCAATGCAATTTTTGAGTCGCAGAGAAATGCTGTAATGCCATTAATGATGTCAGCCTATTTCATGTCCAGTGCTGGTCTCCTAATTATGTCTGTCTTGCATGAGCCGGTTCCACTCTATGCCTTTCTTAATATTTTATCCACCAGCTGAACCTTTACTGTCCTTAACCGCACTGCATCTCTCTATTTATTCATTTATTTATTTATTTACAGATACTGCAAGAACCATTCGGTTATTTTATCAGAGTAGTACAAATGGCAAGTACGTCGGCATATAATATATACGGGTTATACAATGTGTGTGGAGTGAATACTAACTGCCAAGGACAAGAAGATAAAATTTAAAAAATTACACTCATACAAGCATTCATACAGCATGAAATACTATTGAACTGGTAAGAGCACTTTCTACTTCTGCTGAAAACAATGCCAATGAGGGTGCTGAAATAATCGTGTTATTTAGTTTACTCCGCTAGACTATGGTGCAAAGAAATAATGAATACCTAAACTATTGTGTATGGCAAACGAAGTTATAGTAAAATCGCATCTCTGCGTGATAAAGTAGCCAGAAGAAAAAGAGAAAAAAACGGCTATGCTTACTTTATATTGGCCGTTAATTAGCTGGTACAAAAAACTTAAGCTTTGATTTACAGAACGTTAATGGTAAGGGTGAAAGTTCTGATCTGTTCAATAGGTCTGTAACAGAAATCCTTGAAGAATTAATATATACAAAATGTGCTCCTCTTTTTTTTCACACTTTTCTAATTTGGTCTTAGTGAAAGGATCCCCAGATAATAGTGGCATAATCTAATATTGGTAAAACAATTGGTTTGTATGCTAGAAGTTGATATCTTTGCTATTGCTTGTGTTTAATATGTTAAGCTAAGTCGCTTTTTATTTTCCTGCTATTGCTTGCATTTGATATGTTAAGCTAAGTCATTTTTTCAGTGCTGCTTTAAAAAATTGACTGTGCAGAGATGTGTGCTCAATAACATGAGCCTCTTCTCTTGCTGATATCTTGACTATCATACTTAAACTGATTAAGTGAACTTTGTTTCTACCATGACAGATCAAATTTGCAGTTTAACAAAAATTGCACATCACTGATCTGCTTAAGTTTTTAGACAAGAGCACACTGCATTAGCCAATGAATAGTAACTATATATATATTTTTAAATTAGCTTTTCATTAACTCAATTAACCTTCTCCTCATGAGTGTGGTCAATGTTGTTCCAACTGAAAAGCTTATAGTATTTATAAATTACAGGTGGTATTAAGTAGGTAACTACGAAGGCAGCACCTCGTAAACTTAGAAATAAACTAAAAAAGTAAAAAGATATACTTTTGACGCTTCTGGAACGTGGCATGTCGAATGACCTGTCAAAGTAGCGTCTTCACCAAAGTCATCAGCAGCACACATACCTAACACACTTAAGAAAATTGAACATTCATTACCTATGCACAAAGTTCAGTTATCCCTATTCACAATGTACATTGCTCTTTTCTAGCAACAAGTGAAAAGAACTGGACGAAACAAGCTAAATCTATATATGCATACACTGTGCTCGAAGCGAGTATTTTTTACGTTTAATGTTACTACACCAATAACTAGCCTGCAATTAGGGCAGTGTTGTTAGTACGAATTGCACATTGTGCTGCAGCAACCAGAAATCTTTCGGGTTGTGTGAGCAGTGCAGCACAATAGTCAAACGGTGTTACGTCGAGACAGGCAAGCAGCTTGCATTGGCGAAAATCAGCAGAGTGATGAACTCATAAATGCACCTCATTCCCAATCCAACTTTTGTCACCG